CCTATTCCTCCCCATTGGAAACAGAGAGGGAAAGATTGTTGCCCTTAAATCAGAGTTTCTAAACCTTCCTCATACCGTGACCTCTTAATACAGTTCCTCATATTGTGGTGATCCCCAACCATAAAATTATTTTCGTTGCTACTTCGTAACTGTAATTTCCCTACCGTTATGAATAATAATGTAAATATCTGAATGTGATGGATGTATCTTCATTCACTGGACCAAATTTGGCACAGAAATGCGATATGCCCAAATCCGAATACTGGTTGAGTGGGGGGATTGGTTTTGTCATTTGGGAGTTGTAGCTGCTGGGATTTATGAAATCCACCAATGATGGAATTGAACCAAATTTGGCACACAGAACTCTCATGACCAACAGAAAATACTGGAAGGGTTTGGTGGGCATTGACCTTTAGTTTGGAGTTGTAGTTCACTTAAAACCAATAGAACATTGTGGACTCAAACAATAATGGATCCGGATCAAATTTGGCATGAATCCTCTATATGCCAAAATGTGAACACTGGTGGAGTTTGGGGAAAATAGACCTTGACATTTGGGAGTTGTAGTTGCTGGGATTTATAGTTCACCTACAATCAAAGAGCTTTCTGAACCCCACCAATGATAGAATTGGGCCAAACTTCCCACACAGGACCCCCATGACCAACAGAAAATACTGGTGGTCTTTGGCGACCCTTCTGACACCCCCTCGTGACCCCCCCGGTGGCTCCGACCCCCAGGTTGAGAAACACTGCCTTAGAGGAAGATTGTTGGAGAGTTAAAATTTGCTCTAAAGCAATTTAACTAATATAGAATTTTCTGTATGGGGTGTTTCTCCAAATCAAAGAAGTAAAAATAAACTACAAGGAAGAGACAAATAGAGAAGATTAACTGTATTGCAGTGTTTTCGTAAGTGAATCTCTAATTGCATTCTTAAATTGCATCCTTTTATAGATCATGACTTTTTAAAGTTTTCTAAACTTCAAGAAAGATTGCAGACCAGATGCAAATTGCAGTTTAGAACAGTAGAACTTCATTTCAGATTCATTCACTCTGTCTCCATTTTACACATACATAGATTTCTTCAGTCATTTGATCCTTTGAAGTCTTTCCACCAAATCATGTGATGAAGTAATATGATGTTATCTACATGTATTTTAAAATCTTTAGGAGAAACTATACCCCTTACAAGTTTCAGGCTTATGAGTTGTAAAAATATTCAGCAGGAGGGGGTTTCATGCAATTGGATGAAGCATAAATTGCTTAATCTCCCATAGATTTAAGGAACAAGATCAAAAGGAATAATATCAATCTGGCTGACAAAGCAAAATTAAATTGTTAATTTTTATCTTTCTTGTTAATGTATTTACAGTTTTACGTATACTTGCACTTCCAGCAAGACTTTGAATGGAATTAAACATGATAAATGCTAGGACTGTCTACAATACTCAAAAGGTGTTGTCGAAGGCTTTCATGGCGAGAATAACTGGGTTGCTGTGATTTTTCTGGGCTGTGTGGTCATGTTCCAGACGCATTCTCTCCTGATGTTTCACCCACAAAACTGCAAGGCCATTCAATGCTAATCAAGGTGGCCAGTTAAAACATTCACACCTAACTCAAACAGACAAGAGTTCTTTCTCCCACCCTGGACATTCCACAGATATATAAACCTCGCTTGCCTAGTTTCCAACAGACCTCACAACCTCATTTGATGCCTGCCATAGATGCAGGCAAACGTCAGGCGAACGTCAGGAGAGAATGCTTGTGGAACATGGCCATACAGCCTGGAAAACTCACAACAATCCTGTGACACTTGATTTTTGTACTTCACTACCTGTCAGAGGGCTGCTGACAAGATCACAGAGAACTGCTCATTACTCCTTGGCTTGACATATTAAGTGATGGGTTGCAGATGTGTTTCTGGCCTTTGAAGTTTAATCACCTTGCCAGAATTTCCATATCATGAGATACAAAGCAGGGTGCATCTTAATGGAGGCAGCTCATTTGAGAAAACAAGTGTATCTCTGAATCAACCAAATCAAAGCAACATTGTTGATTCAAATCACCACTGTATCAGATGGAATGTCTCCTTGATTGAACTTCTGTAGGAAGATTTAGGACTGTGACAAATCTTCATATGGGACAGATGGCAATTTGTTGAAAAATTTAAAGGGAAAAAGGATGGTGTTACTATAGGCATCTGTGGAGGAAAGGTCAACAAGAGGGAGGGGAGCTTTTTTCATGTCAGAAGCTATTTGAGAAACTGGTGTGAGAGAATTGGCTGTCTGCAAGGACGTTGCCCAGGGGAAGCCCAGATGTTTTGATGTTTTACCATTCTTGTGGAAGGCTTCTCTCATGTCCCTGCATGGGGAGCCGGAGCTGACAGAGGGAGCTCATCCACACTCTCCCTGGATTTGAAACTCCAACCTTTCAGTCTTCAATCCTGCTGGCACAAGGTTTTAACCCATTGTGCCAACAAGGGCTCCTGGGGGAAAGGACTGAAGAGATTTTGATAACAAGAACAGTAAAGATTGAGGAATTCTGTATTGTTTGCCTAAACTACAAGAGGATTCTATGAAGAATTGTGCAAGTGGGAATGTGCAAAGAGTATTGTTTTTCTGCAAATAATCATACTAATGCAGATGAGTCGAAGTGGATTCTGTAAGTCAGGAAATGACTTCCATAAGCATGATCAGGCTATTTCACAGAGCATTACACAAATATGAATGGGCTTCTCTGCAAAGTTTTGAAAGTCTCCTTTTAAATAGACCGTGGGATCTATTATAGTGTTTTAACATATAAATGCATTTCTGGCAGTCTATGATCCCAGCTATAGGCCTGGGATCCCAGTGACTGAAAATTGATCCTTGGAACTGCTCAAGTTGCTCACCCCTTTGTTAAACAATGCAGATGTGATGGCATGCCCAAGCTTTTGGGAAAACTATAAAACTATAGTGTCTGGCTTTACTTGAGGGCTTTCTGTATACCTTCTGTTAAGATTAAGACCCTTAGCAGACAGAGGAACTTTAGATAACCAAAATGAGTTTACTGCAAACAAGATGAATAAAGGTTTAATTCCACCCAGGACTATCATAAGGTAACTCAAAACAATACATTACAAAAGAAGCCTTTATTGGCTGCAGTCATCTGGAGTATTCTGCTTCTGGCGCAAAGTGATGGTTATAAATTGTCTCAATCTTCTTTCTTGTGAAGCATAAGCTGGTCATAAGCTTCTGTTGTCCTTTGGACTGATCGTATAAAAATACTGCTGAATGCAGGTGGTAAGGATGCCTGTTTTTGGATTGCTTGGGCCTAGGATACCAGATAATACCCCAAGCCTCTAGTGCAGTGGTTCTCAACCTGGGGTCCCCAGATGTTTTTGGCCTACAACTCCCAGAAATCCCAGCCAGTTTACCAGCTGTAAGGGTTTCTGGGAGTTGAAGGTCAAAAACATCTGGGGACCCCAGGTTGAGAACCACTGCTCTAGTGACTGTAGAAAAGGGAAGGAGTCCAGCAAGAGAGCTCTATACAGACAAATGGAGTAGACCAACTAACGCTGACCTCAGGGGGGATTTTAAGTTCCATTCAAAACTAATACAAAGGAAGGTATCTACACTATTGGGGAAATCTATGAACAGCAGGAACTGAAGCAGGGGAGAGGAAAAGGCAGAGCCAAGACATCACAGCAGATTTGTATAAGATAATTTTAGATAGTTGTATATTTTCCACAAACCTGAAAGCACTGCTACTATGCATACCATTGAGTTTTAATACATTTGTACTAAACCAGCACTCAAAGATTTCAGAACAGCACTAGGAGGAGATATCTTACATTTGCTGTCAGTTAAAACTATTACATTGATGTTGCTGTGTGCCTTCAAGTCGTTTTCTACTTATGGTGACCCTAAGGTCATGGATTTTTCTTAAAATAATTTGTTCAGAAAGGGCCTATGTCTTTCCCTGAGGCTAAGACAGTCATTAGCCCAAGTTCACTAGTAGGTTCCCATGGTTGAGTGAGAATTCAAACCCTGGTTTTCTAGCATCCTAGTCCAATCACACTGGCTCTCAATCTATTATTACTGCTGTCAAAATCAAAGAAAGGTATTATGGTTCAGGTACACATTGGCACCCATTACTCTGAGTAAATATAGCTGCAAGGTGTTAGAAACCAACTTTAGGCTCCTGGACCAAGATATGCTGTAAAATATATTAGTTGATGTCTTAGCTAGTCAAAACATATGTATTAATGGAGACCCAAAGTCCATCTCCTTTCACTTAATATTTACAGCTCAGAGAGAATGCTGGGTTTTATAATGCAAGCACTGAAAATATGTCAAAATTATGTCAGAATTACTGCTGTTAATGAGTTTGATTAATATGTCTGCCTGAGTTCCTTGTGCTCTTGAGAACAATACATCCATAGTATCGTAAACATGATTGCATTAGATCATTGATGGTTTTGCGGAGGGATTTTAAAGCTGTGTTGGTGGTGACCTCATTGGGCATGTTAATCTGACAGGGACTGCTGAGCTTGCAACTGATGTACAATTTGGCACACAGTCTAGAAGTCAGAGATGAGTGCTGGAGAGCCACATACTCTATTCTGCCGACACAAGTTCTGTAGTGATTCTGTGCAATAGATATCAATAGTAATTCTCAAATGTTCAGATAGAAAAATGCATCAGAAACTGTATGAATGATAATTTTTCTTAGCTGTTGATCAAAAAAACTATGACGTCTGCTCAAAAAACATTGGATCCGATACTGTAGATCAGTGGTTCTCAATCTGTGGCTCCCCAGATGTTTTGACCTTCAACTCCGAGAAATCCTAACAGCTGGTAAACTGGCTGGGATTTCTGGGAGTTGTAAGCCATAACACTTGAGGATCCACAGATTGAGAACCATTGCTATAGATACTTATAGATGTTTTCCAACTCTATGATTCTGATTCCATGCCATAAATATTTGACAAAAAAACTTGTTCTTACCAAATATGTTTCAGATAATGGAGGCCAAACTTTAGCAGGTGGAAACAACTGGCCATTAAGAGGGAGAAAATGGACACTGTGGGAAGGAGGAGTCAGAGGCGCTGGTTTCGTTGCAAGTCCTTTACTGAAACGAAGAGGAGTGGAAAGTCATGACCTTATCCACATTTCTGACTGGCTGCCAACGCTGGTGAAACTTGCTGGAGGATCCACAAATGACACCAAACCTTTAGATGGTTTTGATGTATGGAAAACACTAAGGTAAGGCCTCAATACCCTAAAGTCACCAGATCTATCTAAGGTGGGTCAGCCCTGGTTAGTAACTGGATGGGATACAACCAATAAATACGAGATTTTGTGAGCTATATTTCAGAGGAAAGAACTGGCAGAACCCTATGTAATTTGTAGGACCAACATATATCAGTAGGCAATTTGAAGGCACACATGTACAAACAGACACAATACTCTAAGTCAATCAACCAAAGCAGATGCTTTAAAGCAGTGGTTCTCAACCTGTGGGCCGTGGACCACCAGTGGGCCGTGAGGACAAAAATCTGGTCTGCTAGCCTCCTTCCTCTTTATTTATTTATTTTATTTTATTTCCTCTCCTTTCGTGCCACCTGCCACTCCTTCCCTGTCGCTGACCATGGCATATGTGCTGTATCAGAAACTAGAGCTGATCTAAAGTTGACCAAAAACTCATTCTTAATCCTTTTGATACTAATCTTGGAGAGTGGTCTCTGGTCAAAGTGGTCCCTGGTAAAAAAAAAAAGAGAGAGAGGTTTGGAACCACTGCTTTAAAGACATTCTCCCTGGTGAATTTTGCAAGACTCAACCCATTATTAATCAAATGAAAAAGAGAGAGAGATCTTTAAAAATATTTCAAACTACAATCAGATACACATGCATGTTTTTGTACACTTACTAAGATGATCATAAAGAATGTGTGCTTGACAGTGGGATATCAACACAAGTGTTTAAAAAAGAGAGGTTGGCATTAGGATGGAATAAAGCAGTATAAAATGTATTCAAGAGCACATTTGAATAGAGGGAACTTTGGGAAAGGCTTTATCTCTGGAAAAATAAATATGAAAGAAAAAATAAATAAAAATTTCACTACTGTATTTGATATCAGAAAACATTTATGATAGAAACCTCATGAGACAGCATGGTGTAGTGATCTGACTTATGGCCAATAGAGCACACATGACCATTGTGTTAACAATCAAAACTATTCATGTCAACAGTCGAGTCATGAGAAAGTTCTGCCTTCTATGTCCCACTACCTTGTTGTTGTTGTTTTGTTGTTGTTGTTTACCTTCAAGTATTTCTGCCAAACAATGACACAGACTTTTTTTCTCAGCAAGATTTTTCAGGGAGGGTTTGTCCTTGCCTTCCTCTAAGGTTGAAAGAGTGCAATTTGTCCAGGGTGACTGAGTAGGCCTCTATGGCTGAGCAGAGATTCAAACCCTGGACTCCTTGAGTCCTCGTCCAACACTCAAACCACGACACGATGCTCCCTCTTTAATCCTCCCCTTCTTCTGTAACTCTCCATATTATTTGCAATGGAACCAACATTCCCTAGAGTGCTAGTTGTTTAAAGAACGTAACCAGATACATTCTGGCATGATTGAAAAGTAACTGGTTTTCAATATCCTAAAGTAAACAAGGTAGAGGAGGTGATAATTGCTTAATTGAGCTATTGGTAGTACAGAAAGTGGTTTTCAGTCTTCTATTGTTTCAGGGAGGGCATTTAATTGAAACTGTAATGCCTGGGTTTTTTTTTAATAGATTGGATTAAGGTGTCTAGGTTTTAGCAGTGTGATATATGCATTGCGTGATTTATAGAATTCTTGGTAGACCCCCATGCAAGAAAAACATCTGCAGCAATTATAGTTTTGTAATAGGGTACATGAAATTGACCACAGTCTCCTCTTTGCTTGAATCTGTCATGCATCAGTTACTTACAACAGCTTTCTATTAGAGCTCTTTAAACTATTTTTGCCTGCCTGCGGTGATGTTTTTATTATTTTATCTGGTTGGACAGGCATCTCCTGAGATGCTTTGGGTATTGAATATCCTCCTGCTCTGGGAAACAAAGAGTTGTGTTGTGTTTCACGAACCACCGGGCATTCTCTAGCCATTTGGTACTGTGAACTTCCTAAGAGGTCAATGTAATCATATTGTTGCCTTTGCTAAATTCTTGTTGTGTTGTTATTATCCGACCTTTTCCCCAGTCTGAGAACTCAAGGCAGCTTACAGAGTTTAAAACAGATACAGCTGAAAAAAAATCACACTATACAAAAGTTAAAAATATAATTAAATGAACAATAGACGTAAACTCAGTTCAAAGCATGACTGCTGAAAAGAAAATAAATAATGCAGCTCGTTCTGTTATGTCGCTTTCCCCTTAAGCAATCTGTCCTCAACTTTGAAAGGCCTTTCAACACAAAAATGTATTCCTCTGCCTTTGGAAGTATAGGAAGGAGAGTAGCAGTCTAACCCAGGTGCTTCAGAGCCTCGGAGCAGCCACTGAGAAAGCCCTCTCCCATGTTCTCACTTATGAAGTTGATGAGATGGAGAAATGGACTTCCCCCAGAAAATCTGAAAACATAGGCAGGCTCATATGAAAAAATATTGTCCTTTGGATAACCTGGACCTGAGTCATATAAGGCTTTATGGGTCATAAACAACATTTTGAAGTGTGATGAAAACAGACAGGCAGCCAGCTGAGTGACTGCATTGGGGGATTTTGTGCTCCCTGTAGCCAGCCATGGTGAAGAATCAAGCTACAGTTCTTTATACCAATCTGAGTTTCTGAACAGTTTTCAAGGGCAGCCCCACATAGTGTGTTACCATAATCAATTCAATAATACACTAGTTTGCCCTCAGCCAGTTCATTACAACTTTATAACGTATACAGCTTCTTTAGCTTGAAGTGGAAAAGAGTAATAGAACTGGGTGTTATCTACCTACTGATAACACCAAATTCCAAAACTCCATAACAGATTTTATTATTTTAGTAGTTTCATGTATATGTTAAAAAGCATAAAGGAGAAAATGAAATCCTAAAAGACAAAAAAGCCCAGTGACCAAGGAGTTGAAGAGGAACTTCTGAGAGCGTGAACAGCTGAAGCCTCTGCCTCCCACCACACATTCCAACAAGGGGACCATGATTCCGTGGTCAATGGTATCATATGGCCAGAGAAGTCAAGCAGAACCAAGGAGGATGCAAACCCCATGTCTCCACAAGGATGGTTGGTAGAGACAGGATTTCTCAGTGTTTGCCTATACCAGTCATGGGCAAACTTTGGCCCTCCAGTGGTACAATGGGTTAAAACTTTCTGCCAGCAGGACTACTGACCTGAAGGTTGGGTTGCTGACCTGAAGGTTGCCAGTTCAAATCTGGGGAGAGTGTGTTTGAGCTCCCCCTGTCAGCTCCAGCTCCACATGTGGGGACATGACAGAAGCCTCCCACAAGGATGGTAAAACATCAAAACATCCAGGCATCCCCTGGGCAACGTCATTGCAGACAGCCAATTCTCTCACACCAGAAGCGACTTGCAGTTTCTCACTCCTGACAAAAAAACAAAACAAAACACCAGGAATATAAGCCTTCTCAGTGGTGCCCCTTTGGTTTTGGAAACACTGACTACCTTCAATCATTTAAAACAAATTGAAATCTTTTTAGTTTGGGCATGTTTTTATTTTTATATTTTTTTTGTTATAGTATTATTGTGTTGTAAAATCTCCTATATTGACTTGTTATTTTTTAGAGGTATTGAATGTAAATCCCATTGAATATTCTTTTTTGTGGGGAATAACAATGTACTCATCCTAAAATTAAATAAATAGAGTTGCATTTCTCAGTGCAGATCAAAGACACTCGCTATGTTGTACCCAATTTTGTGCAGCCTTGTACAATTAATTGGTTAACAGACTGCCATTGTTCATTAGAAAGATCATAACAGGAAGCATTGAAATGGTAGGCATCTGTTTCTCTAAAACCACGAAGGAAGAAATAGAGAAATGTAACATTTTCTCTAATACATTTGTTCTAGTGAAGGAGAACCATCACCCAGAAAGGAGCTGCTTCACAACATAGACCCTCTTTTCGTGGACCCATCTCCATGTGAGTTTGTGATTTACTGTTGGAACTCTAATATATCTCTCTGAAGCGAAGGCAATATAAGGGAGGGGAGGGATTCTCTCTTAATGCAGGTTTTATTTTTCTCTGGGTGGAGAAATTAACACCAGCCATTTTGCCACTTTGCCATAAAAAGTTGTAGTGATCTCATCTGCAGAGCGTAGTTTACTACCTCCTAAATCATTCCCAGAGTTTGTTGCATTCTCTTGCGGCTCACAGTTACTTGTATGTAAAACGTAATGTAAGCCTGAATGTGGAGCTGTTGACAGATAGCCACATGCCTTCAGTACCTAGTGAGGCACCATGCCAAAGACCAAATGGCTTCCAGTGCTGAGAAATGATGGTTACCTCCTGATAGTGATGTATACGCATACATACGTCATTTCATATATAATAAAAGCATCATTGTTGACCTTGCAGATGAGGGATGAACAGAGGGAGGCTTTCCTTCTAATGTGGCTAAGACGTTCCAAATCCCATAGTTGCATTTGTTGTGTAATCACATGAGTCTGAGATTTTGCCAGTGCTACCTCTCTGATGTCTTTTTTACAACTTCCCCTAACTATGTTTTGTTTGGTTGTTTGAATTTTTTTCTCCCTGTTTAACTAGAGACAAAGCCTTTCAATAGGGGGTTTGTTCTAAGAACATTTTAATTGGAATACACTCTTTTCACGGTCTCTCTTAATTCCTTAATGAAAATACGATGTAATAACTAGGAGGGTGTCCAAAACCACAGATGGCAGTCTTCCCCTGCCGGGTTCCCAGATTTTCGGTCTGCTTTGCACTCCTCCCTTCCCCTTTCCCCTCTTCCAGAGTGGAAGTTAAAGATGCAAAATGGGGAAAGAGGGAAAAGAGCAAGCGTTTGGACTGAGTAACCATACTGGATGAGAGTATGCCTTGTTCCCTTCTGCCCTCTTGTCTAAAGGACATAGGGCAGGCATGTAGCCGGGGGGGGGGGGGCTTGAGGGGCTTCAGCCCCCCCCCCCCGAAATTCTCATGGTGGTTCGCGAAAACGCCTTACTGGTGCATTATTTAAACTGTTATGTTTATTCATATCATGATCTGATCACCATACTCAATATATCCCATATGCATGGGGGTATTGGGGTAATGATACAAAAGGTTTGCTAGGCTAGACCCTCTTTCACTCAGACTCAGCCCCCCCCCCCAACTCAGCCCCCCCCCCGAACCCACCCCTGAAAATTTTTTCGCCCCCCCCCCCCCAAAACGAAATCCTGGCTACGGGTCTGACATAGAGATACACAATTGTGTGAGAGAGAAAGAGATAATGAAGGGCAAAGCTCTTGGTTAGACCTCATGGAAGGAAAAAGGAAAGGGTGGAAATAAAATGTACTCTGACTCTTGGCCAGGCCAAAAAGTATACTGCCTCCAAAGTCATACATGGTGTTCTTAAGAATATATTTTTGGTCTTTCTGGTGCCACAAAAAAAGCAATATGAAGCACCAGCTGGAGCAGCTGGCTTACTATGAACACTCTTGGAGCCACATGCCAATGCAAACCTCCTCTTAGCTGCATGTGGGAATCCCTCCGAATTCTTCTTTGTGCCATATGGTTTGCTAGGTGTGAAAGCCATCAATCCTGAGAAAGGAGAGACAGCTGTGTGAGAGAGGACTTCCATGTGTGCTGTGCCCCAGACATTTTCTCCCTATTTTCTTTACACTCCAGTCTTCCTCAAAAGAAACTAAGGTGGCAAACATTGGTCTTTTGGGAAATCTTCCATGCAGATCTACTATATAACTGTAACTGCACCAAGGTCACATTTCAGAAAGGTTGCTGTATCCTGTGTCTTTAAGCTAAATTTTGGGGATCCCTATTCTCCTGCAATCAAGTCCAACCTGGGAGGCTTCCTAATGAGTCTCTCCTGGCAAACGATGCCTCTTTCCTTTCTGCACAACTGTTGAGATTCTGGTTTCCATTTTGATTAGCTAGTTTACTTTCTCTTTTAGTTGGTTACCAACATGTGGTTTGAATTTTACCCATTAGTTCCCCCTTCCGCTGGCCTTTAAATGACCTGCTCATCATTTATCAAAGTGTAGCTTAGAAGTAATGAAAAGTAATGCAAAGTAATTGTAGTTAATTCTTTCCCCCTTTTTTGGGTAACAAGTAGACATTAAAAAGGTATATTATTATTGTAATGTAACAAAGGATAACTTCTTTTGTGGTACAACTGTAATATTGGTTTGATTATTTTTGTGGTTATGAAAAGTTTATAGCTTAATTGGGAGCATTTTGTACTATGAGAGTACAGTCTTGATTGTTCTGGTGTATGCATTTTAGAAAACTAAAAACCAACCATCTAAGGCTCTTTACACAGCTGAATAAAATCCCACATTATCTGCTTTGAACTGGAATATGTAGTAGTGTGGACTCAGGTAACCTAGTTTAAAGCAGATGTTATCAACCTATGGGTCCCCAGGTGTTTTGGCATACACCTCCCAGAAATCCCTGCCAGTTTACTAGCTGTTAGGATTTCTGGGAGTTGAAGACCAAAACATCTAGGGACCCCCAGGTTGAGAACCACTGTTTTAGGGTATATGACTGTGGAAGGGTCCTAAGTTACATTTCAATAACAAGAAAAGAAGAATCACTTTTGTAATTATAATTGCAAGTAACTAAATACAAAAGCATTTTTTTTAAAGAAACTAGTCTTTGAACTTCATTACTTTTCAAATGAAGCTTTCCAAGCTCCATGTGGAATTAGTCAAAAAGGGCAAAGGAAGAAGGGAAGCAAACATCTTCTCCAGGCACTTTACAACCATCTAGCAGTGTCTAGTCAATTTCTCCAGTTTTTCCCACTCCCTAATCTACCTGAAATGCAGGAAGTAAACTAGACTTACATTGCTTGGTGGACTACATTGAGAGAAGGCAGAGAAAGAGTGTTCAGTTCCCCACTTATCCTGTTGTTGTTTTCAGAGACTAAGGATTTTTGGAAAGGATAAGCTGGAGTCAAAACAAGCTTGAAGATCTAAGTTTATTTTTGCAGCCCCTTCTCTTGTCTACAAGGCTGTCCTTGCTTTTCCAGTCTCATCTGAATCCTATCCTAGAGTATTTATGATTCATATAAGACATTGGTCTGGTAGATCTGCCACAGACATTGCAGAAGATCTACCAGGCTTTTAAAAACAGGGCACCTTGGAAGTCTTCCATCATATGTGTAGGCTATATTCAGAAGAAGGAACTGGCAGAACCACCTCTGTGCATTCCTTAAGAAAGCACTATGAAATTCATTTAGGTCAGCAGATGACCTAAAGGTACATCCACATATATACACATATGGATGGGAGACCTCCAAGGCACCCTGTGTATAACAGCTTAATGGCACAACTGTGTTTTCAGTTGCCCATGGAAAGAGCAAGGCAGGAGCCATCCTGGCCTCCTTGGGGAAGGAGTTCCAAAGAAATGGAGCAGTACTGGGAAGTTGTTGTTGTTGTTCATTCGTTCAGTCGCCTCCGACTCTTCGTGACCTCATGGACCAGCCCACGCCAGAGCTCCCTGTCGGCCGTCACCACCCCCAGCTCCTTCAAGGTCAGTCCAGTCACTTCAAGGATGCCATCCATCCATCTTGCCCTTGGTCGGCCCCTCTTCCTTTTGCCTTCCACTTTCACCAGAAGTACCTCTCCCAAATAAACCTGTGAAGGTGGTGGGACAGAGAGATGTCCATAGATCTTACTAGGCTCATAAACTGAGATACAAATATTCTGGAACCAAGCCATGGAGGGGTTTATAGGTCATCACCAGCACTTTGAATTCTACTGGGAAATGGACAAGCAGTTATTGGAGTTTTTGCAACAAGAGAATTGCATACTCTCTGTAGCAATCTGGCTGCAGCTCTTTGAACCAATTGAAGTTTCTGAGTACGGTACTTTTCAAGTCAGTCTCACGTATTATCCTATTGGGAAGTAACCAAGACATACGTTATAGAATTATAGAATCATAGAATCAAAGAGTTGGAAGAGACCTAATGGGCCATGCAGTCAAACCACCTGCCAAGAAACAGGAATATTGCATTTAAATCACCCCTGACAGATGGCCATCCAGCCTCTGTTTAAAAGCTTCCAAAGAAGGAGCCTCCACCACGCTCCGGGGCAGAGAGTTCCACTGCTGGATGGCTCTCACAGTCAGGAAGTTCTTCCTCATGTTCATATGGAATCTCCTCTCTTGTAGTTTGAAGCCATTGTTCCATTGTGTCCTAGTCTCCAGAGAAGCAGAAAACAAGCTTGCTCCCTCCTCCCTGTGGCTTCCTCTCACATATTTATACATGGCTATCATATCTCCTCTCAGCCTTCTCTTCTTTAGGCTAAACATGCCCAGCTCCTTAAGCCGCTCCTCATAGGGCTTGTTCTCCAGACCCTTGATCATTTTAGTCGCCCTCCTCTGGACACATTCCAGCTTGTTATGATACTTCTGCATAAGCTACATGTTTTATTTACTTATTTCATTAAATATTTATGTTTGCTATTCTAGCAGTTGCAAACACAACTCTCAAATAAATGAAAATCAATATTAGAATACTAAATGAAGCAATAAATAACAATGAAAAATTCTGTGGCAAAGTCATAGAAATACAAAAAAAGCCAAGACTAAACAATGTAAAGCAACCAAAGTAAGACAAAACAAATCAATGTTTATTTGGGCATCTAAGAGCTGCTGAGCAAAGCACCCACCAGGGAGGTGACTGTCTGATATGTGGCTATTACAGCAGAGAAGACTTTATATCTGGTGATTGTACTTCTTAGTTCAGGAGGACAGGGGCTCCAAATAACATTCATGTTTGTATGGGAAGAATAAAACCTTTAGGTAAACTGTTTCCGTGCACAGTTCAAAGGGCTGGTTATGACATTTAAAGCCCTAGATGGTTCAGGTCCAGGCTATTTGACTGACTGCATCTCCTTGTACGAACCTGCCTGGGCTTTGAGATCTTCAGAATAGGCTCTTCTCTCAGTCCCTCCTCCATCTCAAGCTCA